AAGTAGAACAGTCAGTGCCTGAATCCTCACATCTTGTGGGCTTCAAGGAGGAAACAGCAGTTACCAAAACAAGAATACTTCAATTCCTTCCCAAACATCTGCCCCCAGATACTGAGCAGAATAATGGTTTTCATGCAGGCTTTTAAACAAGCCAGCAATGACAGAGCAATGAAAGTATTATCACAATTCAAGCCTTCTTCCAAGTTTCCATGGCTAACTGAAAGCAAACGAGAAGTGGCTCTGCAATTTACAAGTAGCCTAATCAAGCTATGCAAATAGAGGGTAGGATTCATGTTAAGAAGGGGTTTAGAGAGAGGCATTTCTTGTCAACAAAATGGTGTCCTTTTATCTTAAGACACAGGTGTTACTTAGCCTGTAAATCAGTATCCATATGTGCTGCATTCAGATGCACACTTCTGCTGGACAGCAGTGAAAGCTCTCACACTAGACAGTGTTTTTGTGAAAGAGAAAACTGAACAGAGACTACTGGATTTGACAGGCAGTCAAACCGTGTCCATCTTAATTAACCTTGGCAGTACAAAGTTAAAAGAAGTTTCTTCCTGAAACTGGCTGGCTGTAGGTAAGATGCAGGTGTATACACATAAAAATTATATTGGCTCCTTTCATTTCTCTCTCTCTGAAACTGTATTATTCTTACTATCAGTGTCTGAACCTTGTTAGCTACTGTCATGGTTCTTGCCAACCAGTCTTACATATTAAGGAACGTAAGGAAAAAAACAGTTCTTGGAAAGACAACAGAGATATTAGTACAGAAACATTTTCAGAGTAAAAAAATTTCATTGTACTAAGTCCTACCAATTATAATGCCTCACAATTCCCACTGCCAAAGGACCTGCTTGTACTGGAGTTAAGTGTTCCAGAGCAGAAGTCACTAGTGCCCAAATACCGCTTTCAGTGTCACAAAACACAGGGGACCTGAGAAGAAATAAGTGTAAGTAATATGTCCTATTAGACAGTGGAAAACAGATATAACTCATCACTGGATACAAGGTCCCAGATCTTTACCATGCCACTTTAAGCAAGAGCTTCGCCAGCATGTGGTGTGCTTGAACAGTCTCTTCCATCCAAAAGGATTCTATTTGCTTTGCTATGCCTAACCAAAGTACTTCAGTCCACGTATCACAACAACTGCCAAACAAACTAGTTAACAGATTTAATGACTGCTCGATGTGAGAGGAAGAGCTGGACTGAAGGGAGTCTTCTATATGCTTTATAATCATTTGGGCACATGCTGGCCAGTCACCGTCCTTTGTACTGAGAGGTTTAGTTGTTTCAGACTCTACAGAGAAGGTGAGCATGTGCACCAGAAGCTGACTGGCAGCTGAAGCCACAAACAGGCTGGGATCCCCTTGCAGAGTGAAGATGACATCTATACCTCCTGTGTGAAAACAAAACAAGTCACTGTAAGAAAAAACAACAGCCTTCCTATCGTGAGGTGAAACCTTGTTACACTCCAACCATATATTCTAATTCAAGTACCACAGATTTTTAAATGGTGTTGTTGGGGTTTAATATATGTTATTTTGTAGTTTCTACAGCATTTCAAAGTCAGCCAGTCCTTACTGACTAGCAAACAAACAAAAAGCAAACAGAAAAAGGAAGTGAAATTGTTTTCAGATCCTCAAGTGTTTTAACAACTCAGGAAGAGAAGAGGACTTCAATATAACATTAGTGATATTATGAGTGTTGACAACACACTCACTGTGTATTTATGGAAGGAGCCTGTACCATCTCCAGACACAACCAATAGGAAAAACATGAACAGCAGTAACAGTACTACTTTTCCATCACATGGACAGCAGCGTATGCTGCGCATTATTAATACCAGTCCAGTCTTTTAGGCCCCTGGGATCTGAAGTTGAATCCTGAATTGACATATCTGCGTAACAACAACTGGACTGCACACGTGTGCAAGTATTAAGAGATAAATGCACCCCTGGTTAGTTTTTCTGCACTAAAATCGTACTGAAATGTACTTTTTAGTAAGAGTTACAAATAAGAACACAAAAGGCCTTCAATAAACTTTTTATGATTTATCTCATAAGATGTGCCTTTTTCCCCTCTAAGAAGGGCAGCATCTTCAGTGTTTGATTTAACAAAACTGATTTTAACAAAAACCCCACCATCTTTCAATGACTTCAGTGTTTTTCACAAATGGCTTATTTTTATCTTAAATAAATGAAAACTCCTGTCTCATTTGACATGTGAACAACAGACTGGAATGGAAGAGACACAGAGGAGTTACCAGACCTAGAAGTACTCACCATCATCGCAGAGGAAGCGGAGGGCAAGCTGGTGATGCATCATGCTGTGTACACCCTCCACCCAGCCACTTCGCACAGATGCGTCTCCCCACAGGGCGCTCTTCAGAGGCCCATCCCTGCCAAAGAGCTTGATCAACAGATTCTCCTGCTGAAGCCAAAGGAGAACACACAGAGTAAACAGTAAGCAAAGGGGACTGAGGGAAGTGGAAGGGCAGCTCTGTCCTCTAAGTCAAGAGTACCAACGCTGTAGTGAAACATTCTCTCGCTACAAGTGTCACTAAAATAGAAAATGTTTAGAATCCCATGCTTAAACTCAACATATGCCTCTTTCACAGACTAAGCAACAGAGGTGTTCAAAACCAAAACTGCTTGGTTTTAAGATACTAGTGACAACTTATGTATATATCAGTTCCATTTGACTGCTTTATGCAGCTGTATGCATCTCCTCCCTGAAGGAAGCCTTTTAGGCTTTGAGTTTTGTACTATAAATGTATTCTATTGTAGAAAGCAGAGCTTTAAAAACTGCCCTCTTTTTTGCAGGGAATCAAGAGATCTCCTGTCAACCTACTATGGAGGGAAAACTACATCTGTTAGTGCAGTTTAAATATACAGGATCTGCCCAGGGATACAATATTTTGCGATGGCTACTGTGAGTGTTATCCCATATACTGTTTTGAACTGAAAACGAGAAGCACTACACATAAGCATTCACAGTACTACTGTAGCAAGAGAGAAGACAACTGCCACTTTACCTGAGATCTAGGAAGAGAGTATGACTGTAGGTCTTCATTACCATATCACTGTTTGCCAAGTTGTTTGAAGTATGCCAGAAACGTTATAAGCAGAATACATACATTTTCAGGTGTCCTCTATAGGAAGGGACAAACAGACAAAGGGCACAGGTAGCTGACTCACCTGCAAGTGTTGGAAACGGTCTTCAGAAGCGGCAAGTATCCCAGTTAACCGCAGGGTAAAGGAGAGGATGCTCGGACTGGGCTCTGGCAGCGCCAGCACGGAGGTGATGAACTCGCTCAGACAGGGATTGTTCTGCACCAGCTCCGCTGTAGGATCTAGTGACCATGTGTTGCCCAAGAGAGACCATAAAACAGAGAGTCACTGCCAGGACTTCTGTCCTCGCTCATAACACCAAGGCGTTTGCCTGAGCTGAGTGTAACCCCTCACAGCTGTTAAGAGGCGAGTTTGGGTTCACCTGAAGCCCAAGCCTTGGTACAGGTCTCAAGTACCAAACAGCGTTTTCAGGTGTCACGGTGGGAACAACCCCTCTGAGGGAGGCTTCCCCCAGGATCCTGACGTGCAGGTCTGCCTCCCTCCCCCCCGGACAAGCCGGTCCCCGGCGGCCATGGCTAGGAGGGGGGACACTCACCGAACCTCGTCATGTCCCGGAACCAATCGAGCATCTTCTCGAGGCAGGTGTCATCGGAGCCGAGCTGCCGCGGGTCGGCCAGAACGGCGCAGACGCGCGGCAGCAGGAGGGAACACTCGCGGGTTATGGCGAAGCGGCGGCGGGCCCGGGCGACGAACCGCGACTCCTGGCTGAACATGGCTGCGGAGCGCCGGCCCCCGGAGCGGGAGACCCGCCTCACCCGGCCCGGCCGCAAAGCGAGTGAGCAACCTTGCTACTTTATTCTACTGCCAGCCAGCTCTTTCCACAGAATTTTCTAACGTACTCATCTCGACAGTCATTTCACAGCCCAACAGCTTAAGCTATGAAGTCCCTATGCTCATTGTTTTATATTAGCAGACTTCTCCCAAGATACAAGTCTGCACACAGAGAGTGACAGCCACAGGGAATAAAATGAAATTCAGGTCTTCTACCTATGACCCTAAATGTTTCTTGGCCTTGTGGGTCTGATAATAAGGCTCATCTTTTGATTCTCAGGTCCAGGTCTCAGGACCACATGCATCAGTCACCATGCAAGAGGTTAACTCCCTTCTAGTCTCAGGCAAAATAATCAGGAAGTGGGCCTCTAAAAAGAGAACATTTTAATTTTACCTTCAGAAATTTAAAGTATCTTTGCAAAATAAACTTATCTGCACAGCATAGCATGATCTTCCTTTGAACTGAACTGGTAAACTGAGATACACAAAACAGAAATCCCTTCACACCAACCAACCCCCTCTCATATTCAAGCTCATTGTTCTGAGAAGCCAACACACTACAGACTCCTGAAATCTAGAGACACAAGAAGAGAATCACACTTCTCAGCACTCTTTTGCCCCACTTTTATCTCCCCAAGAAACAGTCACCCTGGAAGGATCCAACAGTTGTTCAATCTGTTTATCCTTTCTATTGTTCTCTTCTTCTAGTCGACGGAGCTTAGTCTTCATTCGATCTCCCTCACTTTTCTGAGCTTGTATTGTCTAAGAGAGGGGAGAAAAATCATATGCACATTTCAGAAATAGACACACATTGAGTTTTCACATGGAACACGTTCTGATGTCAATAACAATCCAATTATGATGATCAGGATGATGAAGCAAAAGAAAAAGAAAAAAAAGAGACCATCACACAGGAGACCAGGGCTGGGAGATAAGGGAAGTGACAGGGCAAACTTAAAAGGTTTAACAGAAAGTCAACTTTACACAAATGATCTACAACAGCCAAGATATCTGTTTACAGGTATCCCTAGTGTTCAAC